GGCCGCGAGCCCGTGCGGGGCCGGCACTGCCCACCCGCCGGGCCGGCCGTTCTCAGCTCTCCCTGCTCCTGCCGGGTGTCCCCACGAGCGAGCGCCTGCCCAGCAGCCGGCGGCGTGTGCCAGCACCGGGCCCTCAGAGCCCCGCAGTGACTTTGCACGGCTGCTCGTGAGCGACGCCTGGGGGCTTCGGGGACTGGAGCCCTGCGCTGCGTGCTCCCGGTGGCGATGGGGCCACTTGGCTTTCCTTGGCCCTGCAGAGCTCGGAGAAGCATTTGAAGAACGAAAGCCTCTTGCCATTCCTCCTTTTCCATTATTGTCAGTTGTGCTATTCAAGCCACAGCACCTACACGCAGCACTGCATTGCACATATCAGCCCGAAGTGCCTGTCACTGGCCCTGATTGGCATGTCCCAGGCACAGCTGACAGCCGATGTGCCCGCCAGAGCAAGCTCTGTCTCTCCACTGAACAAAGGCTGTTTGGTATAACTGTGTGTGTTTGTCACAATGTGTTCTTCCTCAGCCCAGATCCAACCCTGAGTCTCATAACCGGGGTGAGAAATTAGGTGTTTGTTGGGCTGCGTGACACAAGGGCCACCACCAAAGGGCAGAACTGGACAAGGTCTTTGAGCTCACCAGGAGCTCCCTTTGCTTGGTTTGTTGAGGTGCTGGGCTGCAGCTCTAAAGGAGAGAAATAGTGTTTGTGTGGGCACTGTTAGAAGTGTCTGAGACTTGAATTACTGCCTCAATTCGGCTGTGTCCAGGTGAAATCTTCAACCTTCCTAGGATCAGGTAATGTGTTAATTTAGTCTATGAGGTGCCATTTCCAGCAGCGGCCAGTGCCAGATCCCTCCCCAGAAGGAGATGGAGATGAGAATCTCTCCTGCTGGGATTGCCAGGTAACCTCTGGGATGATTCTTCAAGCCTCTAGGCCTGGAGTTTTGAGGTTTGTTTCTGCTGCAGTGATGGTAGGTGCAGCCACACTCTGAGCTCTCTGTGTGGGGAAATGCCTTGAAATTGCATGAAAATTAAGCAGCAGATATAAATTCTGTACTGCCTGGGTGTTTGTGAGTTACCAAACTTCTCCCAGAGTGCCCAGGCAAAGCTAGGGCTTCCAGGCTCCTTCCCTGCAGCAGCAGTACATTCCTTTAAAAGGTTTGGGATTATTTGCATTAAATGTCTTCCTACGTTGAGAAGAACAGCTGTGCATCTGGGACATACAGCTTGGTGAGGAGATGTGTGTAGGGACAAACTGCACACATCCAGATGAGCTAGAGGTGTTTTCCCAGCAGGTTCAAACACTGTCATTGGGAAAAAAATGTTTGGAATGCTGAGGTGTCCTGTACCAAACCTCCTCCCCACTCTGCAATCCCAACTGGTAGCTGCTGGATTGCTCCCAGGCAGGCTCTGTCTGGGCACTGGGAGGTGCCCTGAACATCAGCCAGGTCCTGGATGAGCAGTGCTCCCTGCAGCAAATGAAATGATGTTCCAGCCTCTGCAGAGGAGGTGGCACTGCCTGAGCCTCCTCTGTGGCATGTGGGGCATGCCTCCTTTCAGAGGAGCAGAGAAACCAGGGCTGTGACCACAAACTGGGGCTGCAGTTGCCAGTTTTTGAGTAGAAGCAACGATGTGTAGTGGTAGGGAGACACAATGGCTGTGACTGCCTTTCCTCCCAGGTGTGCAGTAAGCCAGCACGGGGAAGGATGGGGTTGGTTTGTGCTGACTTGTCTTTTTGGGGAGGTGTCTGTGCTAGAGACTATATCAGGAAAAATCTCAACTTCGACATTTTCCTGCATGAGTTCTGCCCTCACCTGGGGCTGCAGGGGCTGGTGTTATCACTGCCCTGCCCACTGCCACAGAGGAGAACTTGTCAGGCTGAGCCCTGCAAAGCATGCCAGGGGAAATGCAAGTCTGAGAAAGCACCAAAGGCCTTCAATGACTTTTTCCATGGTGTCCCCTGCTCCCAACAGCAGACTGTGCTCCTGGGACAGTCATTCACCATTCCCATTAGTTGTGCTTCTACAACACTGGTAACAGAGTTGGGTGAAAGCTCCTGAGACCCCACGAGGTTCCCCTTGTGACACAGAGAGCCAAGTTCTGTGTGAACACGAGTGTGCTCAGGCTGTGGGAGCTGAGGTTCTGATGAGTGAGCAGACACGATTATCTCAGGGCCATCTTTGTCTGGCCATTGGCAACCTTGAGCCATTGCTGCTCTTAACCACTAACTTTTGAGGCCTGATTGGTGTGTTCCTTTGGACTGGATTTGATGTCAGCCTTCAGGCCTCTCCCAAGGGATGAGTGGGGCTCAAGTGCTCTGTAGCTCTGCTCTCAGCTGCTGCTTTGTATCAGTGGCTGTTGC